ATTCTGTAATTCAAACATTTCTTGAATAAAACAAAAGCAAATATTACAAATGCAGAGCAAGATTAATCCCTGTTCAAGTTGCATTTTGCAAGTCAGTGTCTCCTATCTAATCAACTCAAGTAACCTACCATGGTCAATATTAACCTTTTAAAAGAATAACATTTAAATAATTTTTTTAATAAAGAATTTATAGGGCCGGCCGAGTGGCGCAATGGTTAAGAACTGGCTTGGGATGCCAGAGGGCCCCGGTTCGGATCCCACATATGAGGGCCAGTGACACTGCCCTCTACAGCTAAGATGCTGAACAACAGCTCAACTTGGAGCTGGGCTGCCATGAGTCGCCTGCGACGGCGTAGGCTGCAGCCCCTGTGGCAGTGGGTTGCCATGGGCTACCGTGTGTAGCCAGCAGCCAGCGTGAGCAGCTAACAGCCACAGTGAGCAGCCATCCAGAAGCCAGAGACTGATCTGCCTCGCCTGAGAAGAGCGCAATGATGGTGCCAACTTGGGCCAGTGAAGCAACGTCCTCCACAACTAGACTGAAGAACAAAACGACAGCAACTTGTCTGTTCCCCTTCCCCAATTCCCCAGCACTGTTCCCATCCTCCCAATTCCCCAATAAAAATCTTAAAAAAAAAGTATTTATAAAGACTGCAAAAGAAACAGCTGAAAGGAATTGAACCTACTTCTATGGAATGAAATGCAGATTAGAAAGAATTAATATAAGAATAAATATATCAAATTACCCATTAAAGATATAGTATAGTTATAGTATTGAGTCTGAATTTCGTATCATAGGACATATATGGATAACTAGCTAGTAATATATAGGTTTAGATAAGGATACACATATAAATACAAATATAAAGAGGATTTAATATATCTATATATGGATATAGATATAAATGCAAATGTGGTTAACAATTTTAAAAATATAGAGAGAGATAAGGATATAGATATAAATGCAAACACGGTAGGGAAAAATTTAAAAATAATATTTAAGGATATAAGTCATTTAAAATGCAAGACAGGAAAAAGAACAAGGCACAAGGAATTCACCAAACACCCTATTCTTTATCAAAAATAATTTAGTATTAATGTCAAGTTGACACTGCATAATTTTTAATTCCATAACCAAGAATGACTAGTAACATGTCCTGCATCTGCCCTGGTCTGGCTTCTCAATTTTTGCTTCCCCTTTTGATTTTGTTTTTTACATCTACATCTCATATTAGTCTTGCTATTTTATAGCTCAAATCAGCTCAAATGCTGATTTTTGAGTAACTTTCTACAGCAACTGGTGTGCTGAGACTACAGATTTCATCTTTTGTTGTTGTTTTTTTTAAGCTGAGCCATCCTGCCACCTGTTGGCAGCTCAGCGGCTGCTCAGCTTGGGCGGGGACTTGAACCACTGTTGCTCAGAGCTCACACCCTTGAGTGAGCTCTTAACCAACTGAGCCACTCGGCCGGCCCTTTTTGTAGTTTTTTTAACTGTTCTTTACAATCTATGCAACAGAAAACATTCTAATATAGTTTAGGACAGAAATTATGGAGTCAGATAGATATGCATTCCAATCTTGGTTCTTGGTTCCATACTACCTGTATGACATTGGACAATTAGTTTAACCTCTAAAATTTTCCGTTTTCTGAACTGCAAAATGGGGGATAACAGAGCTTTCATCTTTCTGTTGCTGCGGGTACCAAAAAATATAGCATGTTTCAAAGCACAGGGGCTTGTACATACAATAGTAAGCATGATATATAAATAGAGGGTGCTTTTTTCTTATATTGGATTGTCTCTTCTTTATAACTCTTTTTGTGTATAAATACACTTTGTTTTGTTGTGATGGAAAGTTTTCTAGAACTCAATAGCTTTAGGACAGATAATAATATCTCTAAGATCAAACGAACACCATCAAGATTCTCTATTGGCACAAAAATGTCTTTTTAATAGTTTTTATCTCCTTCATATCACTAATATTCACTATTTAAAATATTTTGGTCTTTATAATTGAACACAAGTTTGACTATTTCCAGTCCTCTATGTTAGAGCTAAACATAGAAATAACGTTAAATAAATGTAAAAGAAAATAAGAGCCAATTTCATAAGTAAACTTGTAGCCAAAAATATAAAAAGACCCAAGAAGTAAATTGCAAATTCAGGCAAGGTATTTTGTAATACATGAGATTATAATAAAAGTCTGATGATATTAGATTAAACAAAAACACACACAAATGAGCATATGCAGACATTTTAAAGAAAAATGATCAAGACATTAAATTTTTTCTTCATTGGATGTGCTTATCACTAGATATATTGCCCTACATTATAATTTTACAATTACATGCACTTTGTAGATACCCCAAAATAGTCTCTTTACTATTTCAATAAAAACAATTTTTATTTTTGAAAAGACACTTAGGGAAAATTTTAAAAAATATTTGCAAACTTAAATATTAGTTGGAATCAATGATAAATTATCTTTTGGCAGTAGTGCTGTTTGTTTTGTATTATCCACTCAGTCATTATAGAGCTGTCACTTTTTCCTCCTCTCCCCTAACATATTTAAATACCATCTTTATGTTTTGCTTATTAAGTGATAAATAAAAGTGACAGGTCTATAATCCAAGTGACTTCACAGATTTGAAAAGTGAACTGAGCAAACTCCTTGCTTTGTTTTTTTAGATATAGAAACTCCTATATAGAACTTTTCTCAAACTTTCGTTGATGAGTAACTAGGTTAGAACAAATTACTGTGTCAGGCACTGTTCTAGGCACTGGAGATACAATACAGAAACAACAAATTCTTTGACCTAAAGGAACTTACATTCTGGTGTGGGAGATACAGAAAAATATAAATAACAAACGTGTGTGTGTGTGTGTGTGTGTGTGTGTGTCTATCCTGTGCATGCACATTGCTAAATTTTTAAAAGATAAATATACACATTTTAGGAAAGGGAAAAACTGTATTGAAATTGTAATACTCAATATATTCCGATAACAAAAGATGAATACAAGTCATGTGCATACATTATTTTGGCACCCCCTGTATAAACCCGTTTGGTGACATATTAGACGTAGGGTGGTTAGGACAGACTTTTGTGAGGCAGTGACACTTAAGCAGGTCTGAATAAAATGACAGCGAGATCCAGGTGAATATCAGTTCTCAAAGAAAGGAGTGAAAGGAATAAAGAAAAATGAGAGAGAAAGGGAAGGAGGGAGAGAGCGGGGAGGAAAATAGGTGCGAAGGGGAGGAAAATAGGTGAGAAAGAAAGAAAAGAGAGAAAAAAAGACCATAGTTTTTTTAAATTAAAACTTATTGGGTGACAATGGTTAGTAAAGTTACATAGGTTTCAGGTGTACAATTCTGTAATACATCATCTATATATCACATTGTGTGTTCACCACCCAGAGTCAGCTCTCTTTCCATCTCCATATATTTGATCCCATTTACCCTCTTCTACCACCCCTCCCCCACTACCCTCTGGTAACCACTAAACTATTGTCTGTGAAAACATCATACTTCCTAACATGTAATGTAAACCCCTCTTTCCTTTAAGTACAAAGCCTGAGCTAAAGTTATTAGGACAAAAAAAATGTCTTAAGATGTCCATGTCATTTCTACAATAATAACCCAAGAAATTTATAAAATGGTCTAGAATAGAAGAGAGGGTATTGTATTTACTCCAAAGTTAAATTTTTATAAAAGTTTCATAAAATTTACTACCCATAATGTCACACATAAGAAAATAATATTTCAATGCATAGTTAACTTAAACAACATTTGTTTTAAATGTCAGAATTCTTTGACTGATGAATGGATAAAGAAGATCTGGTACATATTTACAATGAAATATTATTATACTCAGGCAGAAAAACATGAACTATTATTGGTCTTGAGAGTATCATGCTAAGTGAAACAAGTCAGACAGAAAAGGACAAGAACCATACGATTTCACTCATATTTGGAATATAATACAAAAAGCAACAAAGGAACCAACCAAACAAACAAGTAGACAAAAGCAAAAAGAAACTCATAGATACAGACAACAGAATGGTGATTACCAGACGGGACGGGACGGGGGCTGGGGCGAAAGATGAGGAGGGTAAAGGGGGTCAAATACATGGTGACAGAAGGAGACTAGACTTTGGGTGGTGACACACAAATACAGGTGATATATTTTAAAATTGTACACCTGAAACTTACATAATGTTATTAACCAATGTTACCCCAATAAATTTAATTTTTAAAAAAGAAAGAACTTGTAATATAAGAAAATATGAGAACTTACCTAAAAAGGACAAATATTTGTAAATATACATATATAAAATAGCCACTATTTCAATTCCTTTGTGAGTATTGCACTATGCAAATCAAAAGCTCTTAAAGTTAATGTGAATATAGAAATACTTAAATATATAAATCAAATTTATATTTTACAGTGTTTTCTATTTACATATCTTCTAGGGCAAAATTTAAAGGCTACCTTTCCATAAAGTTTTTCCTTATTTTCCCCAGAAAGAAATACTATCTGAAATATCATTGCATATTGTAGCACATGTCTCATTTGCATTCATACTGATGTACATGTCTCTGTATGTTTAACAATGCCTAGAATTGCTTGTCTTGAACATAGTAAATGCTAAAATCAAGTCAAAAGAATGAAATTTTTCTAAGCAGTAGGCATTTTTAAAAGAACGTTGTACTATGAATTTATGTGTGCATGTTTGCACATGCACCTTTGAAATAAAATATCTCAATATACACAGAGTCAGATACCTAAAAATAGATGCTGTAACAAATACATGCCCAGGAACATTTCATGTAAATGAAATTTTGTTGTAGAAGAGAAACATAACATCTGATTTTATATCCATGGAAGTAAAATTAAGTTTTCTATAAATATTTATGGAGGAAAAATGTGAACATTCTAACATAAACACTTAGAAGTTTTTGGCAAAACACTGAAATGCAGAGTGTAAAATACTCTGAATTACTTACCACCATTTCGTTTAGGGACACCCAGCAATCCGGCGGGAAGTCCTGCAGTAGCGGTACCAAGAACTGAAGGCAGCCATCCCAGTGGCACAGGAGCAGCATCATGCCGATGAGATTAAAAATTCTCACCACCGCGCTGGCCAGATCATACGTCATGTGGAAAATCTGTTGACCAAGAACACATAGTGTCAATTCTTACTATTGGTTTTTTAAAAAGTCAAGAATACTACCAGTGTCGGTAGGGAATGACATTATGTAGTGTAAGTATTGATTTAATAAATATATGAGAAGTTTTTCAAATAGAAAGAGAGACTCCATTTCTTCTATTTACACTGAAATTTAGCACTCTGCTTTATGAGTAATACAATCCACATGGGTTCTCGACTAGGAACAGAAATGACGCGAACGCATTCAATGTACGGGTCATGTTTTAAAGAACACTGCTTTTGCCAGTAGTTTTCATTTACTGTTCTTCTGGGCATTTTAGCAAAGCTTCTTTAGAAGGGGGTGATATGCACCCTATTGTCTGCTTCTCATCCTTTATTAAGTTAATGGACTTACTGAAGGACCAAATAAATAAGCTAAGGACTGAAAACCATTAACAAGAGGAGTTTAACTGCAAAATGTAAAGTAAGATTGAGAATTAATTCCAGTTTACTTTTAGCTATATTAGTGGAGGTACTTCTTTAACTGTGTATATTGAACACGAATAATGGCCTTTGAGGTAACAGTTCTCTGGGTTTGGTTGGAAAAAAACAGCTGTGCAACACTTTTTTAAAAACTAAAATTGTTATTTCTTCCTGTATGATTTGTATGGTACAAGCTTGTCTTTCCTTTGAACCTGTTTCATTAATATTTTCATGAAAGTAATAATAAGTATGGTTAAATATGAAAAGACACAATACCTTGAGATATTTATAATCACATTTTGTATAATTCACCGAAAGAATAGTCTATTTTTGAAGTAAAGAGGACAACATATATTGAGAGATTATCAAATAAAAAAAAACCCTCAAAATTTATATTTTGATTTAGGAACCATATTTTTGTAAGGAAATATCTATAATCCTTAAGAGATACCTATTGAGATATGTAGAGGTAAAATTACAGGACTACCGGGGTTTTACTATCATAAAATCACCAAATCTGTCTTTAATGAAATGTTTCTCGCTTTGATTCATTTCTATTAGCCATTAATTCTTTCCTTAAACAATCTTCCTTTTAACATAGTAATTATAAAATGAGCAATAAAATCATCCTTTGTGGAAACTTACACACTGTTTTGAATTCCTTTTAAAAGTAAGTTTGGGGCCTTAGACTTAAAGGCAATAGCTCATGTATTTTAATATCCAGATAGCTATACACACAATTTATTTAAGGCATTAGTAATTTTATTTTCCCCTAAGTTATTTTTAATTTGGTTTTGTATCTGGCAAACCCACAGAAAAATCCTTTTGATATTATTCCCTGTGATATTTCTTGGTCACTGAATTTATAAACAGAAATTGTACCAACATTCTCATCAATATCTTCTCATCAAAATAATAAGATAAAACATACTAAAACTATTTCTACTATTAAAGTAGAATGAATTTAAAATTTTTTGATTTAGTAATAGAATTCTATATTTATACCTAAGTATTTCCTGACAAAATAGTTCAATGTGTCTTTTGGGTAAGTGTTGCATTGTTGAGAAATAGGGTAAAGTTACAATAAATTTGGGAATTAAACGAGAAACTGATCACCTTTCAGTCTGATTCTTTGAAACAAACAGTGACTATCTGAAACTCTCTGCCAAAGCCTATAAATTATAAGCATACAGGAAGCAATTACTATTCAATTATCAGACTGTAGAGTGAGATTTGGGATGTTATGGATAACTGGGAACATTCCTAGTAAAGCTGACATTTATGAATTTTCTACTTTATTTTTTGGAATCATTTTTTTTGTGTGTGTGTGAAATCTTAAGGGGTTATTTAGTGAATTGAGATAACATGGCTAATAGTTATTCACCAATTCCTTAAAAAGCCCTATTATTTCTGAAATGTTTTCAGAGAAACATAACCACTATTTTCATAAAGAAAATTAATGGGGGATATAAGGCCTTTCATAACATTAGAAACACATTTTACTTTTTATTTCTTTATTTATTCATTTATTTATTTGTTTGTTTCTTTATTCGTTTATTTATTTTTGCTTTCATGTGATTACTGAACTATATTGTAACAGAATAGTCCTTAAAATTAAGCCTATCGTCTACCCCATTTCCATTCCCAACAATGTTAGTATACAGGGCTAGTGCAAAATTTCTATACTAACTCTACTATAGAGTCCTCAGTAATATCTCAAATAATTAATTGCATAAACAATCCTCCTTTTTGGCCTTTGATATTATGTGTTCAAAAGTGAACTCATTTTTGGGAGCAATTCCAAAATCTAACTCTGGAAGACGCAGTAGCCAAGTTGGCTCTTTTGACCCGGTTAATATCAGATGCTAATTTCAAATAGCAAATCTACATATCTCCATCCTGATTAATCTACCTGACAAAAGAATATCATAACATATGTAGCATTAATTTTGATGCAAACATACATGAATGTGTGTAGTGCCTCAGCCCAATCTGACTGCCTCTTGAGCTTATAATCAAAACTCTCTGGCAAGCATAAATCATCACATGTGATCAGTTACTGATATTAATCACTCCGTTAAAACCTTGCTCTCAGAAGGTTTTGATTGAGAAGACTATTTTCTTATGGAGCACATACATCCGTAGATAATCACATTAACCCAAGAAGCTAACACCTGATCTAATTTATGCATAATTTATGCAACAATTTCTTATTGTCTAGGGGTGGCTTGTAGCATAAATCTAAGTGCAACTTTACTTAACTTCTTCATCAAGCAGATGATACCATTGATTAATTAATATTTTTAGTTTTGAGGTGGACATCCTTGACTGATAAATTCCTAAGTCAATTATCTTAATGCTACTTCCTATAAACTTAACTTCACACAGAAATGACATAGATGATGCTCAGTAAATTGTAGTTAAATGAATGAATGAGAATGTTGCAGGTGTTTAAAAATAATTGCATAAGTAACTGCTTATGATTCTAAGAGAGTGAAACTTTTGCTTCTGTGTTTTAAACAAGGAAATTAGAAACAAAAACAAAAACAAAAACAAAAAAAATCCCAGTATTTTCTACGTTTTCTACCTTCCTAGAATTTCTGACTTGAAACCAGATTTGAGTGCTCAAGGAGTGGGTAGCAGAAAGATAGGCTATTCTGACTGCTACCAATATGCTTTTATGTGGTACTTATAAGAGTCAACTAAAAACAAAACCAAAAACAAACAAAAACCACAGATTAAAATACGTTTTCAAAGCAAATTTTTACATTTTATTTTCATCAAAACCTAGACTACAAAATATGTCGGTGAAGTCACTATGCTTTACAGCTGTTCACCTGAGAACATTCTGTTGTTCATTTGACTTCAGTCAGAGGAAAGATCTGGCCACAAATTCCCCCTCAATAGTTTTTATATTATGGTTCTAGAATTTGGCCACCTTGGAATCCCTTGACTCCAGAGAAGATAGCTAATTATCTTTCCAAAACTGAAGAATGCTTTAAGTATGACAATTTGATTCAGAATCCCCATCCTGCCTTAATACTTGCAGAATTATTCACCATATGTATAATTTTTAATAATATCTTGCCCAGGGGCAATGTATATTCTATCCTGTTTCTAAAAGGCCAAAACCCAAGCTGTGCTATATGGCAGATATCCATAAATTTGCTGAGTTCTTTTAAAATGCTTCCACATTCTTTCCTGATAAACTGGACTCAGGAGACTCTCAATCTAATAAACTGCCTATGGAATCAGTGGCCTTACTTGATCCTTAACTGTTTGATTTACTATAGTTTACTTAACCACAAAAATTGTCAAGAGCAATTTAATGCTTTCCATTGCATGCATTGAACTGCCTTTAGTCTTTGATTGCACAGGTGAGGATCATGTATAGGCTAGATTGCTTCTATAATCTCACTATTTATTCAAGGCTTCAAATATACCTTCAGAATTCTTATCAAAGCAACATTATGAAAATCGAAAGGGCCAGAAATGGCTCTCTTGACAGAGAACATTCTTATTGTTCAAGGGTAATGTAAGTTTGGGTTCTTTTGTTTCTCTTTATAAATCTACACCTGCATAACTTGGTATTATCTTTTAGATTGAGTGTCTCTATATGCCATGTTGATGACAGAATAGAAGACAACAAACATTTAGTTTGTTTCACAGCTAACAGATAACCAGGGCTCAATATGTGCTTGTACTTGTCCTAATCAATGGTAAAATCAGTATTTTAAGAGCCCTACTGTACCTTCTGAAATTCTTACCTTGAAAATGATCTAGGTTATTTTACCAGGTTTTAGGTACAACGTGCGGATAGCAGCCTTACTTGAAGGTTTTTCTTGGTATATGAGAGAAGAGTACTCCTCACAGTAATCTCTTTCAACACTGACAAGTGACTGCAGTAATTGGAGTAAATTTTTTAGTCCCCTACTCTATCTAGAATCTCATTAGGAATGGCCAGCCAATACCTTCAGAAAGGTCAACCTCCTGGGCCTCTCATCTCTATAAGCCTCAGTAAAAAGTCAAAATGCAATCTTCCACTCCCTTACCTCACATATCTATTGTCAGAGCCTCACGTTATTGCTTTTTTCCTGGATTCTTCCCATGGTCCCTTCCCAAACTACTGCTACATTATCTGTTAACTCTCAATATCCTCAGCCTCATCATAAAATTCTTCCTCTCCTTCTCTGCTTTTTCTGAGACTTATGAGTCCTTCTCTCCCTCAGCTTTGCTGGTAGCTTTCTCAAACAGAGTTGGTTCAATTCTTTCATACTTCATACACCTTAGGTTCTGTTGGCAGTACCCATGTGTTACCAACTCCCCTCTGAAACTAGACAATTATTTGTCCTCTGTACAAGTATTTTCTTTTTCTTTTCTTTAGTGTTCATTCTATTTGGCTATTCCACCCATAATTTTACCTCACTTCTGGCATTTAACAACCTCTCAATCTCCACCCACCACACATCTCCATTTATTAAGGACTCTGTGCTTTCAATCGCCTTTTCTCTACCAAATGTCAACCTCTGATCAATC